ACTGTCACAGTGTGGCACACTGCCTGGCACATAGTAGGTGTTCACTAAATACTTCTTTGGATGAATGTGTAGAGTTTTTCATTTTATAAGTCAAAAAGGTGAGATGGGTATATGAAGTTACTCTTGTTACCATGTTTATATGAAGTTGGGGTGGGGGCCTGGCAAAGAAGTTTCATACTGAATGCTGTGAACCGGCCGAAGGGCAGAAAGTTAAATCCTGTTGAGTACCTACCATATCCCTGCAGGAGGCTATTCTTAGCCCCTTTATTAAAGGAAGAAACAGAAGAAATGGAAGAAATGGAAGAGGACTGGGGCTAAGTAAGCTGCCCCAAGCCCTGTGAGATCAGTGTACCAGGACCTGGATTCAAAGGCAGGTCTCCCATGCCCCCGCTGAATTCTACTTGACATTTCTGAAGTTCAGAGTGAAAGCTGTTATCTACATGCTCATTCAGAAGACAGGGGAAGGGGTGGGAGAGATATTTTAGAGAAACTCAGCACCTATGTCCAGACATACAACTGATTTCATTATTTTTTGACTCATCTGTTTGTTTCATTGTAACATTAGCTGGTTGCTAAGAAGCTGTTCCAGAGGCTATGATACTGAAATTTTTTTGGTAATCAAGTAGGTCCCCCAAAAAGGGTGATATAATGAAATATTTGGGTACCCCAGGAAAGGGCTGCCGATCAGCCTGCTCTGGCATGCTGGTTTGAGAGCGCTCTGGCCCCTTCGGCAGGTGTGCAGGCTTTTAGAGGGAAACCCCCTTCCTCCTCTGATGCCAATACTTAACCTCTCTGGGCCTGTCTGGTCACCTACAGTGACACCTGCCTTACGGAGGAGAATGAAGAGTAAAGGGAATATACACAAAGCAGCTGGCAGGGCTGCTGGCACGTGGTACGGGCTGAGAACATTGCAACTATCCTCATTTGAATAGTATTTTAACAGAGTTTGGGTAGAGTACTTTTTTGGATATCTATGCTGAAGAAGTCAGTCTCTCAAAGGGTCCCCTGGCCTTGCTACTGGGGCAAATGGTTCCCTTAACTTTATCCCAAACCAGTGACATAAGTCCGGTCATGAAGCACAGCCACTTTTAGGGTTTGGATCAGAAACACATCCATCCCACTCACTGGGAAAAATTTTTCCTTACACCAATAGGGTTATTTTCCTATGAAAAGGACAGTACCCGCCTCTGTGGGACTTCTGACAGAATCACGTTCCTGACCAATTCTCAAAATTCCGGTGCCCAGGAACTATCTAGGTCAAAGGCCACACACTGGGGGTGGTGGGGGTTCTATTTAGCCTGAAGCCATGTTTGGTGTGGCTCAACAGTATGGATGTTTCTAAAATATTAGAGAGAAGCCAATATTGAGAACATTAAAAATGAAAACATGAAAATTCAGATTTTCAATTCCTCTTGAAAAACATGGAGCCCTTCGCCCTGCCTCCCTGCCTCCCCCACCCAGAGTGGTGACTCTGCAGCCGAAGGGGACGGCTGCCAGCTGCCTGACACGCAGCCAAGGTCTCCCCGTGGACCGCACTCGGCATCCTGGGCTCCTTTAGGCCGAGACGGTGGCCCCTGTGGGCATGTGTGTTTTTGAGTCCTGAACAAATCCATTCCTTCATTTGGAAAATGAAAATTTTCCAATGGAAAAACACCCCAGAATTGCTGGAAGTCATACAGTATGGCTGGACTAAGGCTTCCTGGCCTCAGCCAGTGCCCTGACCACAACCTGACCTCAGAGTCAGTCCAGGAAGGACGTGGGCACAGCGGGCCAAGAGGAGGCCAGCAGGAGCCAGCGGCCACATAGGTAGGATGACTTCTGGGGACAGGCTTTGCAAAGGGGACCTCAAGTGGCAACATCTGAAAGAGGTGCCCAGATTCCCTTGTGGGCAGTTACTGATTTTAGCTGCAGAATCTCCCTCTGGTCCATCTACTTGTCTCTGCTGCTACTCCAGCTTCCAACATCTCCCACCTGAATTAATACAACAGGCCCCTAACTCGTCTCCCTTCCTCTGACCCTGCTACTCATGATCCTACATGATGTAACCACCAAGATCTTCCTTAAATACATATCTAATCACACCATTCTCAGTGATTTTCCATTGCAACCGCCCCCTCCTTGTCTCATAAAGGTCAAACTTCTCAGCACAGTTTATGAGAAGTCCTGGGGGACACACCCTGGCATACATTTCTGGCCACATCATCTCTTGCTGTTTTCCCATCAAGCCTCTGGCCACCCTCCACCTCGGGAATGGACAGCTTCCTCTACCTGGGATATTGCCACCTCTACTGGCCACTTCCAACTGAGCCTGCAGGCCTCCACTTAGCTTCTTCAACTTCTTCAGGACATCCTTTCCTAAGCTCCCTCCACCCCTAGGTTAGGTTGGTACCACCAGGACAGGACACCCCCCTCACAGTACCTAAGCAATCTGTGTCTTAAATTAACCATCATTCCTATTGGTCTGTAAGCTCTGGGATTCACAGATCCTACCTGTGTGGTTCACAGATATGGGGGCACATAGTAGGTGCCTTATCAATGCTTATTCCCTAAATGAAAACATGAAATAGACACTAAGGATGGAAGAGAAGAAAAATCAAGAAGCCACATTATCTTTTCACTCTGGGCAGGCAAGTCACTGCTTCTCTGGTCCCAGTTTCCACATGTATACTAAGACTGGAGAAGGTCATTTGTTCTCAACTCGGGGTCTCTGTGCTTCTATTGGGCCTATGAAGAAAATAGTGGGGTTTTCGGAGCAACGTGCAATATTTCAAAGCCCCTGAAGGGAACCATCCACCTTCCTGTGACTAGGTGGCAAAGGCCAGCTCAGACTTCAGGTGACTCTGCATAAAGAAAATGCTACTTAATGGGCAAAGTCAGGCACCTCACATTGAGCAAGGGCTTGATTAGCAGTTAGCGATGTCTCTGATCAATAACACACAGGCAGACAATATATAAACACAGTCTGTTCATGTGTAATGTTTTTAAAAACATGATGCCCGTGAGACAAAATAATAAAATAGTGCTTGGACGGGGGGCGTAGAGACCACAGACCTTTCAGATGGGGCTGGTTCACTTTCAATTAGTCGGAATGAAGGCCTCTTGGGTGCTCCTGTGGGAGTCCCAGGGGGGTGGAGGACGGGCCACGGCCCAGTCCCGAAGCCTCCCTCTTCTTGGTCAACGCCCTCACATCCCCCATCTGTTCCTTTGGAAGCCCTGCCTGGCACCCAGAGCCTGTCACCCTGTAAGCTGGGAGGCTTCAGCATATACAGGAATTCCGGGCCGGAAGTGATGTCTGGCCACACGGGGGCGCCCTCACTCCACACACTAGGGTTCCAGGGCCCAGCTGGAGTGGAGCTGGAGGACTCGGCCATGCCTGGAGCCCTTCTGGGTCCGGGGAGGAGGTTCGCAGTGCTCCTAGGACAGCAGATACTCTTTGGGAAGATGTCTGCCATCCTCCCTGGGGTGGCTCACCCTGCTGTTCTTGACAGCGAGCGGCTGGAAGGGCCTCCTCCTGCTTACAGCAGAGGGACTGATGCTCTGATATCCCTAGATAACCCCAGAAAGAAACCCAGTGCAGAAAGTGGGCAGAGAACGTGGGCTGCCATCCCTTGCTCTAGAGAGCAGGGTAAGCTCATAGCACACCTGTGCCTGGGCTTCAGGACAAAGAACCTTTTAGAATCTCTTTTAAGAGTGAGCGAGAGACAGTAAGACAAAGACTGAAAGACATACACACACACACACACGCACGCACGCACACATGCACACACACGGAGAGAGGACAAGGGAGCAGGAGAGAAGGAATTCAGACCCTGCCCTGCTGCCCTGTTTGGGACAGTCAGAAGCCCCAGAGCAGCCAGCTGAGTGTGAAACAGAGCAGCCTGCAGACTTTGGGTCCGACAGATGGTGGCTCAAATCCTGGAGCAAGGATGTGAGCAGGACTTTGCTCTCTGGGCTTCACTGGTCCCCACAATAACAGTGGGAAGCCAGGCCTGCCTTTTAGGGCTTGCTGCGTGAATCCAGCAGGGCAATGATCTGTGCAAACCACCTCTCATGGCACCTGGATCCAGGCGAGCACTCACTTGGTAGCAGAGACATGATTCAGGCTGACCAGTGACAGTGCCAAAGGATTTTTTTAAAAAGTCTGACCATTTACATCTTGTGACGTTAGTTTTCTCACATGGGGATGTTCGGGCTGTATGAATTCGACAGCCCCTTTCAGTTCAGATTGTTATTCCATATTAAGTGTCACTCCTTAAACAGACATCTAAATCCTTCCTGAGCCAAGTGCCTTCTCTAGTTCCTCCATGTGGGGAGAGGTGGAAAGGGTCATCAAAAAGTCACAGAGGCAGCCATGGTGGCAATGAAGCACATGGCTCCAGAGTCAGACTGGCTGACCTCAGCTCCCACTTTAGCAGGTGTGTAACCTTGGGCTAACAGCTTACGATCTCATTCCCACAGCCTTCCGTCTGGAAAATAAAGATAATAACAGTACCCATGGCAGGGACTGACAGGGGAGGAAATGAATCCTGCTTGCCACGCACTCAGAACAGTGCCTGGCACCCGGCAAGCACTTCCATAAATGTTACCCGTCACTTTGATTTGTTTTACGGAAGAGGCAGTGATCTTTCTAGAATGGTTAGATGAAGGTTGTCTGATCCCAGACAGGAAGAGGGAGGATTCATTTTCATACAAGCTGTAGCAAGACCATCACCTTGGGAGACAGAAGAGATGCTTCTGAGACCCAGGTCTGCCGCTAGCACTTTGGTATGCAGAGTGGGGTTCCAATCTGTTCATTGGGACAGTGAAGACAGTGGGTTGCCGCCCACCCCCAGGCCCCCACTCCAGTCATGAGTTCTGTCTCTGGGTGGACTTGGCAGGCTCCACCCCCTTTCTGGGCCTCAGCTGCCCCATCTGTAAGAGGAAAGTGTTGGACGAGACTAAGGTCCTAGGGGGTGTCTGGTCCCGGCACTGCCCAAGCCTCTGTCCAAGGGCGTCCTCACCTGAGGTACTCGTAGAGCCCATACATGGGCAGGAAGTCGATGTCGGACAGGAAGGCGTAGGGGGTCCCGGCATGCTTCATGGCCACGTTGCGCAGCAAGTTCACGGGGTAGAACTGGCCCTCCTTGTACACAATGTGGTAGGCTACGTTGTGGCGGCTCATGAGCACCTCGGAGCCCTGTGCGTAGCGGAGGAACTGCTGGGCCTCGGCATCGGACAGGTAGAGGGCCAGGCTGACAGGCCCCTCCCAGTGCTTGCAGATGGCCTCGAGCATCTGGAGCCTGGGAGCGACAGAGAAGGTGAGCCACAGACACCTGGCCCCATCCACGCACCCTCCACCCAGCCTCTTGGGGGTGGAATTCCCCCTAACGGGCACCTGGTCAATCAACTCAGATCCAAGTCCCTGCTCTAAACACGAATCACCACACGGAGCGGGCAGACCTCAGTTCTTTTATCTGTAAGAAGGGCATAAAAATGCTATTTTGCTGCTTCTTGTCTTTGTTTCCAACTGAAGGGACGATGTGAAGAGAGTCACATCCCACCCTAAGACTCCTCTTTCCACCGAGGTTGGGGTGGGAATATTATATTAAATGATGTAAAGATCCCCTTCCAGCTCAAGGAGTCCCAACAGCTCTACTTCTCTCCTAAACCAGTGACGGCTGTGAAAGAGTTGGTCAAACTGAGGCCGTGAGTTACAAGAAGTGGTAAGATAAGCACAAGCAAGAGTAACAATAACTATGACTTCTGACCCGACTCATTTCTATGCACCACACACTTTCTAGAATTCTCCCAACAACTGCATGCTCCAGCCGTCTTTCCCCCATTTTCCTGACAAAGGAATCGAGGCTCCAGATGATTCAACATTCTCCAGTGTTGATTCTTGGACCTGCACCAGACATGTGGGGGTGGAGGTGGATGGGGCCCTGAAGATGGCAAGAAACTAATACTGGGTGTTTGCCAAAGGGAATGGAAATACATGTGAAAGCTGGAGACCGAAGTGTGCCTGGGTCCTACTGTCTCGATTTTTCAGAGCCTGTATTGCCCGAGGGCCCCAGCCAATTTTGCAAGGCTGCCTGGGAGTCACAGAGCCAAGGACCATGGGGAAAGAACAGAATCGAACAAAACCAAAAGGTGCTTCCGACAGAGAGGCTTCTTCAAAAATGTTCAAAAAGAATCTATAAAGATGCTTTTTTTCCCCCAAAGGCATTTAGAAGTGCCTGGTAGATAAAATCTATGGTTAAGAAACAGCAAAAGCCTATTTCAATTTTTTTTCCCTACCCAGCAACAGGTAATCAGCAGTCTCCTGGTCAGAAGGTCCACTTGATTCAGACAATTACCAGGAAATAGATTTCATGCATTTCCAGGCCCCTAAACAAAGGAAAATGGCACACCTATCTTGGGTCAATGGCTTTCTTGATGGACTTTGAGAGTTTCCTCTCAGTAATTCTGGAAATTGGTATTGTTGGGATTTGCTCCCTCTTCTAAAGTGGAGGATCAAGATATTCATTGGGGAAAAATGCCCTCTGTTCCTATGTATAACACTAATCAAATTGACCAGAGCTGGATTTTTAAGAGGCACTATCTTCTCCACTATGCCTAATTTTGCTGAAATTTGCATACAGACCCCAGTGTCTGCTGGGCTTTGATAATCTAGGATGTTGAATCATTCCACCTACACCTCATTTTCATTGGCTGTGAAATGTGAGGACTCTATACTGTTGGTATAAATTTTGAGAGATTTGGGGAGTAAAGGGCAAGAATAATACCTGATGTTTGCATACCAGAGGGAGTGGGGTGGAGAGGGCTGTTCGGGGCGGAGAGAGGCCAGCTTCTGCTGTGCATTCTCCCACTGACTTGGATTTTGACTCCGTGTCTGGATTCCCCAAGCAGGGAGCCAAGCCCTGCCTGTGCAGCCTGACTTTCAAGTTCTTCAAAGGTTAGAGGAAGAACAGAAACAAAAGACTTAAGGTTCTCAGGAGACGAGCATCACATCTTTGTAGACTGTACAGGAGACTGCGACAGACGTCCTCTGGAACCTCAGCTAATGACGACACAGCCCACTTCTGTTTCTCTGCCATCAGCTCTGACCTCACCAACCGTTTCTCCCTTAAAACCAAGCTCTTTGCCAGGATCTGAACAGTGACAAACCACGACTAATCATCATGATGATAATATATAAAACGTGCTAACGATGCAATAAATCTCCACCATTTGTCTGTTGCCTACAGCGTGCTAGCTGCCTTTTCGCTGTCATCACTTGCACTAGCTCCATTAAGTGGCGATTCTTGTCACTGTGTTGCAGGAGAGGAAGTGTAAGGAGGTGAAGCGGCTTCTTTCAGGTCATGGAGCTCTGAACAAGAGGAGCTGGATTCACACTCAGGTCTGTCTGACCCCAGTGCCCAGGACCCAGAGCACTCCTCAATATGGACCAGTGTCAGGTTGGGAAAAATGACCCTAAAGGGCAGTTCCTCATTGCCTGTTTCCCCAAACAAGGTGTTCCTGCCTTGGCTGGCTTCTCTCTAGTCGTTCATCCTCCCATCAGTCTCTCTTGGGGTCTGTGCCTCAAAGATCCGCCATTCTCCGGACCCTTCTGTTGTCTCTCGTCATTGCTGTCCCAAGATTCATCTCTGTGCAGCTCTTGTTGACACAAACTTCTGTGCCAAGTCCCTCTTAGGACTCCTACACAGGAAGAGAGAGTGCCTGGCACAGCAAGGACCAGCGCCAACGGAGAGCGTTTCAAGAGACAAGGATTAATTCTAAAACTACAGAATTTTCTGTTTGGAAGGAACCTTAGAGATTTTTCAGTCTGATCGGACCATCTTTAGGAAGAAGGAGGTTGCCTCAGAGACGGGCTTGACTTGCTGAAGAGCACACCGTGAGGGGCAGGAGGGCAAACCCCAGGACCCACGTCCTGACTCCCTGGGCCACATTCTTCTCCATTTCCCCAGGGCCGCCCACTGCCTCATGCTGGCAAAGGTCAGGAGCGGCCAGAGAGATGTGTGCAAGAGAGGATACAGGCAGGGGCTATACCCGTAGCCTGAGCCCGGAAGCCTCCTGCCATTGTGTGGGTGTCAGGGAGCAGGCAGGGAGATGGCTGAGTCAGAAACCTCAAAGTGGAAGGAATTCTACAATGTCTGTCAGCCCAAGCAGTCCAGGCAGGTGGCCACTAAGCCTCTGCTGGGATGGGGAACTCCCCGCCCCGGAGGAGGCAGCTGATCCCCGCTGGCTCACCGGGGCAAGGCAGGCTGCAGGGTGCAGAGAGGGGGGGCAGCTTGGGTTTGAATGTTGAGCTGTGTCATCATCCCTGAGCAGGTGATGAGGGTTCTGTGAGCCTCCTTTTCCACATATGCATATTGGGGATAATAATAATGCCTTTGTGGATTACAAAACAGCTGCAAATTATTCCTCTCCCTCTGCCTATGTGCTTTGTCAGTGCCCTCCTACACTGACTCTGGGCTGGCCTTGGGAGTTGCTGTGGCCTATGAGGCAACAGCAGACACGACACAAGCAGAGGCATAAAGAAGTGCTTGTGTGGCGGGCCTTGGCCCAGGGTTCCCTGCTCTGGGAAACTTGTGGCTGCTGCCAGGTGAACAAGCCTATGCTACCTGCTGGATGATGAGCTACCCGGCTCAGGTGTTCCCACTGACCAACAGCCAGACAACACCCCCAAAAAAGAGCTGCCTCGCTGACATGAATGAGCCTAGCCGAGGCCGGCAGAACTGCCCAGGGGGAGCCCGGCTCCCACCACCAACCCACAGAGTCATGAGTTCATTGTGGCTGTTGTACTAAAGCTGCCAAGACTCAAGCAGTTAATTAAGCACTGCTACGTAACACACTATATCCAAGTGAATTTGAGTATTACATGAGATACCTGCATATTTACTGAGTATCTACAATGTGCAAGTATAGTGCTGGGCCCCAGAATGAACGAGAAAGACACAGTTCCTTACTTCTGGAGCTTATTTCTAATGGCAGGGAGAAGGCAATAAACAAACTGTGATAAATGCAGGTGAACAGTGGGCTAGAGAGGTGACAGAACAGGACACAGGGTCGGGAGGCTGCGAGGGCTGGCCAGGGAAGGCCCTGCTGGGAACGTGAAATGTGAGGCCTGCGTGATGAGGAGGGTCTGACCTTGAGAAGCTTTCCAAGAAGAGGGAAGAGCCCTTGGGATGAACCTGAGTTTAGCATGTTCAAGCGAGAAGGAACAGGACCTGTGTGGATGGAACACGGGCGAGTGAGGGGCAGAAGGAGAGGGGGTGTCAAGGGGTTAGCAGGTGTCGGCTCATGTGGAGGTCATGTGGGCAGCTGTCACGCTATGCTACATGCAATGAGAAATCTAAGAAAGTTTTAATGCTATGACCTGATCCACAGATGGTCCCCGACTTAACTATGGTCCGATAGAAGATTTTTTGACTTTACAATGGTGTGAGGGTGCGATGCCATCATTAGAAACCGTACTTCGGGTTTTGCATTTGGATCTTCTTCCAGGCTAGCGACATGCAAGATGGGCCTCTCTTGGGATGCTGGGCAGGGCAGTGGCCGCAGCTCCCGGGCGGCTGTGCCCTCGCAGGGGGCAGCACCTGACACACTTCTGTTTCCTGCTGTCAGTGCGGTGTTCAACAAATTACACAAGATATTCAGCGCCTTATTATAAAATAAGCTTTGTGTCAGATGGTTCTGGCCAACTGTAGGCTGAGCACATTTCAGGCAGGCTAGGCTATGTTTGGTAAGTTAAGCATATTACATTTGTTTTCAATTTATGATGGTTTTATTGGGATATAACCCACTGTCAATGGAGGAAGATCTGTATATTTTTTAAAGATCATGGGGTGTTACATGGAAAAAGTATTACCTTTCATTCTCTAGAATACTGCTTTTCAAACCTAAGCGTGCTCAGGATCACCAGGGAGGTTTATGACAACCCAGAGCTCTGGGGAACCCCCAACCCCCAGAGATTCCTGTTCGGTAGGTCAGGGGTGGGGCCCAAGCTTCTGTATTTCTAACACCTCCCAGGTGACGCCGTGCGGCCAGATGGAGCAGCAGGGCTCTAAGGGACGGAACCCTGCTAGCTCAGCTCCCATCCTCCTTTCCACTCACAGAAAACAGAGAGAAGACCCATCGGCCACGTGTTTCCCTGGAACTGTACTTGGTACTTCAACCACTTTGTCAAAGGGACACAAAGAACAAGTGTCTGCCGGCAAGGTAGTGCTGTGGGCACTACCCTCCTTAGCCGGCCTGCTGCGTGCTTTCAGCCGGCATCACCTGCTGCTGGGATGGGAGACGAGCAGGCTTGCTGGTTCCATAGAACGCAGGCAACGTTCATTCTTTCTGAACGGAATTCTAGAGGGAGCCCACACGCCAGCTCCCCTGATTCACTGTGGCATTCGCGTAGGGCCTACTTCTGATTCAAAGGTTTACAAACACACTCGAAATGTTTCTTCAATTAAAAATCAATCCAACAGGCACCAGTCAGCCTGCTGTATCATAACTGAATGTGTAGGGTGCAGTGGAAGGAGGGATTTCCACAGTCTTCATCTGCCTGTAGTACTACTTTGTAATTTTTGATTATGTTCCGCTAAGCATCTCTCGCTAGGGTGTGGAATTCCTGGCGCTCTCTGGTATTGTCCGATGGCAATACTTGTCACAGTGTGTTAGGGGGCATCCCATGCCTGCCATGTCGGGGGATGTGTGTGCTTTGAAGGGAAGGCTTCTGCAGATGTCTGCGGCAGATGTGAGAGGTGCGGGGCTTTCCTTTAAACGGGCTGTTCCTCCCGGTCTCCTGCAGCCCATGCTGGGAGGATATTTCCCAATGGCAATAGAAGGAGGTGCTTTGCTTTGCCTGTGTTCTTTTGTTGATAGCAAATGTATACAGAAGAATGGGTTTGGGTTAATAATTTTAAAAAAATTGTCTAAAATTTTCTAATTGTTTATAAATTGCAGAGAGCAAATTCCATAGCCAGCATAGAGGTCAAAAACAATATGGGAAGGGAAACTAATATTTTTTGCATACCTACTACTTACTAGGTACTTTACAGCCTCTCATTTTATAAAATCCAGACAACAATCTGTGAACTTGCCAGTAGTACTGCCATTTCACAGATAAGTAAAGGGAGGCTCAGAAAGCCTAAGAACTTGCCCCAGTTCCTACAGCTAATATGTGGTGCAACTGGATTTTGAGCCCAGGTCCTTATCTTTTTTCCTACATCTCCTTACATCTCTAACTACCTACCATGTGCAGAGGCTGTGGTCAGAGTGGTCACAGTGTTCAGGTCTAGCAAATATTTATTGAATGCAAATATGTGCCAGTGGCTTTCAGAGCCTCTCATTTAATACTAACCAGACCCTATAAGGCAAACATTTTTAAGCCCCTTTATAGAAGGAGTGACCCTAAGGGGTTAAGTGACTTGCCCAAGATCACCAGCTAAGGAGTGAAGGAGCTGGTGGGATTTGAACCCAGAGCTCCTTGCCCATAAGTCTCACATCCTTTTGTGCAGACACCAAATACCAAGATGTTGCTCCCTAGTGCTGCCATCACGCTGGGTACCAACATCACTGACTGCATGCCTGGGCCAAGGCCTGGGCCTGGTGACCTCATCTGATCTTCACAACAACCTCAGTGGGGAGCGACTGTAATTATCACTCCCAGAATACAGGCGAGGAAACCGAGGCTTAGAGAGTGACTTGTCCACGGGTCAAACTTCATTTTCTCCTGAGTTTGGAGGTAGCCACTGAGTTGGGAGGTTGTCTGCCTCTGACTATTTCGTTGATAAACTGAATGCATTAACAGGGGGCATGGAAATGACCAAGGAAAACCTGGATGCTCTGAAAGGTGGGAACCTGGGGTTACCTGGAACTTACTCCCCTGGGCAGACTGGGGTGTCTGAGTTGCAGGGCCCTTATCTGAAGGGCATGAGGGGCATTCCTGCTGCCTGGAGAACAGACGACCAATCTAGGCCCTTATTCAGCATGAATATCAAGGATTAGATTTTATTTGCACTTTCAATAGCACAGAGGAGAAGGAAAAAGCAATGTGAAGAGAGGACTTTTCTGGCCAGCTGACTCATACTGCACTGCTTAGAAGGGCAGAGTCTGGGCACCCAACCCAGAAGCAGGGTGAGAAGCCAGAGGGACACAGAAGTTTTGGGGTGGCTCTGGGATGCTGGTGTAGGTCAGCCCCCTTTAAAGCCTCTCTGGGAGCCCAAAAGCTTTGAGCTGGAATTGCTGGCCACCTGCCCTGACTCCCCCAAGGTCCTCTGAAATCCAGGCCCTGCCTTTCTGGCCAAGTTCACCTGCTCTCCTCTCCCTCATCTACACCCGAAGCTCTAGTCACACTCAACCTTGTGTTCCCAGCAGGCCTGGTGTCCACGCTGACCCTCGAGTATGCTGCACGCTCCCCCGTGGGAAGCCTCCTCTCCTCTGTGCTTTCTATCCCGCCTCTGATGAAGTGTAGGCGATCCCTTCCCCGCAAACTTGGACACATTCCCTGTCTCTTCCTTTCTCCACCCCTGGCTGTGATGGGGGCTCCTCCCGTGGGTTCCCAAAGCATCTCTTTATTGTAAGAACCTGTTACCTGTCTGTGGCAGGAAGAATTCTAACCCGCCCCCTAGACTCCTGCCCCCTGGTGCATGCACGTGGTGTACACCTCCCTTGAGGGTGACAAAACCTGGGAATGTCACAAGATATTACTCCTGTGAATACAGGAGATGACAGATTAGAGAGACTCTCCTGCTGGCTTTGAAGCAGTAGCTTCCATGCAATGAGAGGGCCACAAGGCTAAGACCTGAGGGTGGCCTCTGGGAGCTCAGGACCCCAGCCAACATCCAGCAACAAAATGGGGCCTCAGTCCTAGAACTGAATTCTGCCAAAACCTGAATGAGCTTAGAAGTGGACCCTGCCTCTCAGATGAGCTCATAGCCCCAACCAACATCTCGATTCAGTCCTGAGACCCTGAGCAGAGGACCCTGCTAACACGTATTGACTCCTAACCCACAAAACCGTAAGTAATACATGTGTGTTTTTCAAGCAGCTAAGTCCGTGGCAATCTGTCAGACAACAACAGAAAGCCAATACACTGAGCCCTGTACACACTGCGTCCTGATGGAAGGCAGGCACGGGGTGTCTTCTGAGAAATCCTCCTAGCCCCACAACAGCCATGCACAGATAGAACTTGAGGTTTACGTATTATCTGTGGAACAAGCCACATGAATTTTGGAGATGAGAAAACTGAGAAGGGAAAGATCTTGCCTGAGAGCACACAGCAAATCAAAGTTAGAGCTGGTGCGAGAATCTCTGTGCTCTTGCCTTTTGACCTATTAAGGTCTGCAGGTTCTCTGGGTTTCTTCACAGGAGTCCTGGGGGCCCATGAATCTTCAGGAAACTACCAGCCAATGATGCCATTTAGTGATGTAAACAATCATTTGCTTACAAGCTGGGTGTGGGAGTCTCAGAGCAAGGACTTTCTTCTGCAGGCCATACTCAACCAATCAACAAGAATGGTTCCCGGGTGCCTCAGGATGCAAGCAGCCGCTCACTAGTCTGAACCCTCAGACTACTTACTACATGTGAACCTTTTCCTGTCCAAGTGCTTGTTCTTTCATTCAGTCGCTCATTCTTCAATCATTCACAACAATAACAACTGACGTTTATTGAACCCTTGATAAGTGTGACAGGTACTGTTCTCAGCACTTTAGAGGCATGAACTCATTTAACCCTGAAAATAATCCCATGGAATCTCTACTGGGCCAATTAAACTCCCTTCCTAATTGTGGGAGATTAGGGGGAATGACATGAAGGCAACTGGGGCAAGGGCAGCCACTTTGGGCCACATGTAAAACAATAAGGAAGCCGGTCAGCTGAGGTGGGAGGGGAATGCACAGGACAGTGAGGTATAAAGAAGTGCAGCCCTGAGTGAGAGACCTTGGGGCTTTGAATCCATTCATCTCCTGGAAGCCAGAGAGAGGTTTTCAAAAACATAAATTAGACTTGTGTAACTTCTGTGAATTTCTTCAGTAATTTCCCACCACACTTAGAATAAAATCTAAATATTTTCTGAGTTTCTATGCTCTATAACCTTAATCTCATGCCACCTTCCTCTTGATCCCCCGTTAGGCTTTAGCCACCCTCGTCTTCTATCAGGTTTTGAATATGCAAGGCCTTTCTACCTCCGCACTTGCTATTTCATCTGCCTGGAAACTCTTTTTCTCAGCAACTCGCATGCCTGACTCCTTTTCCCATCCTTCAGGTCTCTGCAGAAATGTCCCCTCCTTAGAGACTTCTCCTGACCACACCACCTAAAGAAGGTCACTCACTTGACCTTGTTGTTATCTATCTGTTCCTTCAAAGCACTTACCACAATTCCAATTATTTTACTTAATTATTTTTTGCTTTCTTACCCTGAGTCCCACATTCTCAACCCTGGCTGCACACTGCCAACTTAAAATGATGCAAGGTCTTCATGCCACAGAAGTTCTAACTTAATTGGTCTGCAACAGAACTCGAACATCAATTTGTTTGAAAAGCTCCTCAGGTGATTCAATTTGTCCCCAGCCACGGCTGAGAATAGTGCACAGACGGTGAGCCATAGAAGAGTGGGACTCACACATAAAGGCTCAACGAATGTTTGTTGCATTAATATGCTTATAAGGAAAAGAAGCAGTGATTCCAATTCAGTCGATGTTTCCCTATAATGCACCTGCTTTCCCTTGAGATAATGTGAGTAGAGTTCTATTTTTCAGAATCAGTTCTTCCTCTATCCTCAAAACCACCACCACCACCAAGACAAGAGCCCTTGGTTTTCAGGGACAGAGAGGCGATGAGACATAGTCCCACCTTGCCAGGCTTCAATATCCTAGGCCTGTGAGGCCCCCTCTCCCTTCTCCGTTTGACCGGGCGAAGGGCAGCAGGGAGAGGACCTGTGGGGGCGGGGCCCGGCGGCCATACCTGTCCATGGACAGCTGGGCGACCAGGGTGACGTCCGTGTTGTCTGAAGCGGGCTCGTACTCGTAGTGCAGGAAGTACAGGTGGGTTCGGTGGACGGTGAACCGCTCTCGCCGGAACTCGTAACACAGGTCGTCCTCATCCAGCTCGGAGAGCTGCTTCTGGAGCTGAGAGGCAGGAGAGGGGCATGGGGTCAAGAAGGACAGTCCCGAGGGACCCGGGAGGCTGTCCACCGAGTCTGCTACCCACTGGATGGAGGATGGGCCAAACAGAGCAGGACGGGATCGCCGGTTTTCCTTTCCAGTTTAATTTCAGAAAGGCTGTGATGATGAGCAGCTGCCCTCAACACCTCAGAAATGAGTCCCCTCTGAGCCGACGGTGGAGACAACTGACAAATGTTTTACCAGCCTGGACTCCTCCTAAGCAGACAAAAATCGTTTTCCTAGGTGACCCAGCCCAACAGTTTCAAAAGTGGGGGAAACCAGCTAAGACGAGAGTGCTGCAAACTGGATGGCACAGTCCCTCTGCGTGGCCCGAGGCTCTGCTCCCCCAGACTTCAATTTCTACCAGACCCTGGAGGGAAAACCAAAACAAGCCCCAGAATGAACCACAAAACCTTTTCCCTTAATTTCCTCCAGGTTTAATCAGAGTCTTGGTACCCACTCTTTTCTTTCTCTTCGAACTCCATGGAAGTCTCGCTGGTAGAAGTTCCTCACCAGCTCAACACTCCCTGCATCTCAACGAGTGAAAGAGTGAAGAACATGCTGACCTGCTAGAAGGTAAGGACTTAGCACTGGACGTGGGCAGGTGCGCACACACAGACACCCAGACCTGCAGATGCGCAGCTGCCCAACAGGCAACCGCCTCGTGCAAACCTCACCCCATGCCCCCACGCAGGTGTGACTGTGCCTCTTTTGCAGATGAAAAACTCTGCAATGAAAAAATAAAAGAACCTCGATAGTGATGGAAATTAAATCAGTGCATGTGTGGTGGTGGAAGAGAAGGGAGAGCTTTCCGGGTGATGGAAATGTTCTAGAGCAATGGTTACATGGGTGTACACATTTATACACTCAGGATGGGTGGATTCATCATATGCAAAGTGCATTTCAATACAATAGATTTAAAAAAGTAATTTGTCAAGGGTCCCATGGCTGGTTCCAATATCTTTTGTTACATCTGCCCCATTTATCACACGACTCCACAGAGTTGAATATAGATTAAAGTTTACAGTGGCTAGAGTTGCTTACGTAGCTGAACGTAATAGAACATTTTTCCAAGAAGGTGTATTTATCTTAAAAGTCTCCAAGCCAATATGTAGCAATCAAGAAATATATTAAACCACTTCCTGTGTAACATCAGTTAAGACCTTTGTCTTGATAGATGAAGCTATGGCATTATTTCTCAAGATGAGTGGTATGGCATGTGATAGCATTAATTGTTCCAATTCTCCTCTCCTCCCTGTATCTGGACACTTTGTTATATGACTTTCAGTACCTTTTACTGGGCCTGTTTCCCTAACCCTGGAGTCTGGGCTGGACCATGACTCACTTTGGCTGATAGAATGGTGGGGAAGCAATGTCGCCCCGATCCTGAGACTGGGCCTCAAGAGGAGGTGTATGTTTCTTGGACATCCACTGATGCCATGAGAAAATGCCTGGGCTCGGCTGCTGGAGGATGAGAGACACCTGGGGCAGGGCGGTCTTCCTGATTGCCCTCATCCTGGGAGGAAGCCCAAGATCAGCAGAACTGCCTCAATACACAACTCTCACTGTCTGCTGCTGAGGCTGTACAGGTTTGGAGCGATATAACCAAGAGGGTGTTGTTGGCATTTTGTGTGGGCTGCTGTTTCACTGTGTGAGCCCGTTCCACAGTCACAGGACAGTTAGTCTCCTGGACTCCTGCCCTCTAAATGCTTGTAGCATTCTGCAGCCAGCCTTGTGGAACTCCAAATGCACTCATGTATTTCCAAATGCCACTTGGGCAATCAGTTGGGTTCCACTGATCTATGAGATATTCCCAGCTAACTTTCAAAATTTCAGCTGTTAAAAAGGATGCAATTAGGGATATTCTTTAGCTTTCCAAGTCTAATTTGATGTCCTTGCCTTTTTGAAGAGTTCCACTATGCCAAGAGTATAAGTAATGTAAGGACAGGAAACTGGGATTCTCATTCCAAGATCCTATGAGCCAAGTGACCCTTCTGCAGGGCTGAACCCAGATCCTCGTGGACAATCATTCACCTTCTCTCTGACCCTTTGCTCCCAACATACTCTTTACTGGCACCAGTGATCTTCTGCTCCCCAAACCTGCCTTTCCCTCCACACCTCTGTGACTCTGCACAAGTTCCTTCCCTTCTACCATATTCTGCCTCACCTCGGCTGCTCTTCTCCACCAGGGGACCTTCTATTCACCTTCCAAGATTCAGCTTACGTGGCACCTTCTCTGTGAGACCTTTGCTGGCCCTGCTCTGTGCTCCAAGAACACTCTATTCATAAATTTACTAAAGCACCCATCAGTTCGAAATGAAATTGTTGAAAGGTAACTTCCTTGGTGAAGACTGTTGACACTTCAGATTGCCCCTAGCACCATGCCCGTTGCATGACAGGTGCTCAACAAGGAAACATCTTCAGCATGGAAGAGGGCTATAATCCGTGTGAGGGTCAGGCCCATCCTCTTAATTTTCCTTATGTACCCTCTAATGTCATGCACAGAAGGTGTTCGCTCCTAAGCGCATTCATTATTTGCTCCTGTACTTGCAATTTCAGGGTCTGTGATGGCTGAAAAGGCTTTGGACAGCAAATAAGCACATACCAGGCTCTGTGCCGGGTGCTATGTGCAAAGGTTCCCTTTCCTTAGAGCCCTCTGATACGGCATGTGCAGCCTCATTTGGTAGTTGAAAAAGCAGTTTTAAGATCTTGAGGTTGCTCAAGGAGGTCACACCTGGGTCTGTGTCCCTCCA